CTTCCCTTCTCGTACCCAATTTCTCGAGCCGAGGCAACTTTGGTGATGGCGGACACGTGGCCTTAGGCACGAGTCAGGGTTTCTTAAATTTCCCCAAAAATAAAATATTTAGGTGGCGACTCTGTATTTGGCAAAGCAGTCCATGTTTGGCACTTCTTTCTAAAAATTAGTTTTTCAAAACGATTTGCCGAATTTGGACTCTTTGGTGATTTATCGGTCTCGCATTGCACTTTGCGGGATTAGATTCAGAACCGCGACATTTGAGTCCGAACTGTGGAAGCATGAAGCCCAAGGGCGCGTCTACACCCCCCTCCATTTTTTGGGACTTCAAAACATGATTTTTAGCCTCTGGAAAACTCTTGAAAACCAGTGGTAAAAATTTCAAGAAAAGTTAATAAAAAAGGTGGGAAACACAAGGGTAAAAGCCTATGAAACGAGGTCCAAAGAATGGTGATCCACCCCTCTATCTTTAATGGCTTTAAACCACAAGTTTTAGCCCATAAAAACAAGGTAAAAATAACCTAAAAATAGTAGAGAAAGAGAGTAAATAAATAAGGTAAGAAAGCTAAGAATTATACCTTTTGAAGTGAAGTATCTTTTTTAGTTACAAACCAACAAATCCACACCCTCAAGAGCTAAAATACAAGCTCAAACACCTTAACAAAGAACTCTCAAGGTTTGGTTTAGAGTGTCTAACCAAAGGGTATAGAAGTTGCAAGAGAGAGAGAAAGTTTTCGAATTGTTTTAGAGCTGGACCTTGGATTCCTTCATTGAGAATTCGAATCATACACATTGGAACTTTCATCATTGAGTGCCCAGGACAGAGTGCCCAAGTCTTGAGGGCGGTCAAAAATAGGGTGTCTACAGGTCCCTTCAACAAAAAGCAGATTGATTAACTCTTAAAGCTGATAAAATCCAACTCCTTATCCGGTACTCGTGTTTCTTTGGCACAAATAGGTAGAAATCCTAAAGCCTTCTCTCGCCTAAACTTCTCTCCGTGGATCATAGATTTCGGAGCCTCCGATCATATGACTAGTTTTTCCCATTTATTCAGTACCTATTTCCCTTGTTCTGGACATGAAAAAAATCAGAATAGCCTATGGTAGTTTTTCACCTATTGCAGGAAAATGACTTATTAAACTAACCGAGAAAATTAATCTCAATTCTATTCTTCATGTCCTTAACTTAGCCTGCAAGCTTTTGTCTGTCAGTAAACTATCTAAGGATTCTAATTGTCGTCTTACATTTTTTGAATCCCATAATGAATTTCAAGACCAGAACTCAGGGATGATGATTGGGCGTGCTAGGATGATTGAAGGCCTTTACTACTTTGATGAAGTACCTTTCAGTAATAAAAAAGCTCAGAGCTTTAATAGTACTAGTTCAATCTCTGTTCATGGAAAAATAATACTATGGCACTATAGACTAGGACATCCTAGTTTTCTTTATCTGAAACACTTATTTCCAAGATTATTTAAAGGGTTTGATTTTTCTTCTTTTCATTGTGAAAGTTGTACTTTTGCAAAATTTCATCGCTCTACTTATTTGCCAAAACATTACCAGACTTCCAAGCCTTTTTATTTAATTCATAGTGATGTTTGGGGCCCTTCTAAAATCACTACTCTTTCTGGTAAAAGATGGTTTTTTACATTTGTTGATGACCATACATGCTTATGTTGGATTTATTTGATGAACAAAAAATCTGACGTGAAAAATTTATTCACAAATTTTTAAAATATGATTGAAAACCTATTTCAAACCAAAATTAGTACATTACATTTTGACAATAGAACAAAATATTTCAATAAGCACCTGGGTGAGTTTTTGGACAAAAAAGGGATTTTTCATCAATCTCCATGTCGAGATACCCCTCAACAGAATGGTACTGCAGAACGAAAAAATAAACATTTACTTGAGGTGGCACATGTTATAATGTTTTACATGCATGTTCCTAAGTATTTATGGAGTGAAGCAGTTTTAACAGCCTCTTACTTGATAAACAGGATGCCTACTAAGGTGTTAATATACAAAACACCTTTTGATTGTCTAAATTTCCCCCCCCCCTAAAACAAGGTTGTTTTCTGATTTACCCATCAAAGTTTTTGGATGTACTGCCTATGTTCATGTTCTAAGTCAACTTCGTTCAAAACTTGACCCACATGCCATAAAATGTGTTTTTTTGGGTTATTCATCAAACCAAAAGGGGTATAAGTGTTTCGATCCTCAAACAAAGAAATTCCATTTGAGTATGGATGTGTCATTTTGGAAACACAATCCTACTTCACCAAACATTCTTTTCAAGGGGCGACAAGTGGAGGGGAAGCCAATTTTTGGGATGTTTCTATCCCACTCCCCAATGTCATTTATCCTACATAAGAACCACATATTTCTGAGAATGGTAAATTAAGAAGTCCAAGTCCAAGTGCGTCTGATAATGCTCAATTAGGAGAACCAGGTTCTTTGGTGCCTAGTAACAAAGATTCTCGTTTAGGGGGAGAAGTACTACAAATTGATCAACCTGATCTAAATTATGAGCTTCAGGTTTATACTAGGAAGAGATTTCATCTGAGGAATAAAGACCCAAATGTCCATCCGAGTTTTGGCACTGAAACTTCAGGTAATCCCATTCCTTCTATTTTTGACCTTGGTGTTCTTATAGCAATTAGGAAAGGTGTTTGAAATTGCATTAAACATCCTATTGCAAATTACCTCTCTTATCAATGACTGTCTAAAAACCATAGAGCTTTCACATCTTAGATTTCACACTTGTTTGTTCCAAGGAATATACAGGAAACACTAGATGATCTGAATTGGAAATTAGTAGTCATGGAGGAGATGAATGCTTTAAGAAGAAGTGGTACTTGGGAGATAGTTAATCTACCCAGAGGCAAGAAAACAGTTGGGTGTAAATGGGTGTTTATCATAAAATGTAAAGCTGATGGAAATGTTGAGAGATACAAGGCGAGACTGGTGGCTAAAGGCTTCATTCAGATATATGGGATCGATTATCAGGAGACTTTTGCTCATGTTGCTAAAATAAATTCCATCAGAGTGCTGCTATCTCTTGCAGTAAATTTAGATTGGCCTCTACATCAATTTGACATTAAAAATGCGTTTCTCAATGGTGATCTTGAAGAGAAGGTGTTCATGAGCCTACTGCTTGGATTTGAGCAGAGACTTGGTAGCAACAAAGTATGCAGATTGAATAAGTCATTATACAGACTCAAACAATCACCAAGAGCATGGTTTGAACGCTTTGGAAATGCAGTTATCAGCTGTGGCTTCTCGCAGAGTCAAGCAGATTACACAATATTTTATAAACATTCAAAAAATAGTAAAATTACAATTTTGATTGTTTATGTTAATGACATCATTTTAACTAGTGATGATAAAGCAGAATTAGCAGCCCTCAAGAAGAAACTCGCAAAAGAATTTCAAATTAAGGAACTACGAGCCGTCAAGTATTTCCATGGAATGGAATTTGTAAGATCCAACGAAGGTATATTCGTTAACTAGAGAAAATATGTTCTTGATCTCCTTGGAGAAACAGGTTTGCTTGGTTGTAAAATAGTGGAGACTTCGATTGAGCCTAACTTGAAGTTACAAGCTGCTAAGGCTGAAGAAGTAAAAGATAGGGAACAATATCAGAGACTTGTAGGGAGCTTGTCTCATACACGACCTGATATCACCTTTGTAGTCAGCATGGTTAGTCAGTTTATGCACTCACCAGGGGTAGAACACTTTGAGGCCGTTTATAAGACCTTAAGATATCTGAAAGGAACTCCAGGGAGAGGCTTACTATTCAAGAAACATGGATATCTTCAAGTTGAAGTCTACACAGATGTAGATTGGGCAGGAAGTGTTATGGACATGAGATCAACATCCGGATACTGCTCCTTTGTAGGTAGGAACCTAGTTACATGGCGGAGTAAAAAACAGAATGTGGTAGCTAGAAATGGTGCAGAAGTAGAGTTCAGAGTTGTTGCCCATGGAATCTGTGAAGTAATATGGATCAAAAGAATTCTTGAAGAATTGAAGCTTTCTTATCCGCTTCCTATGAAGGTCTATTGTGACAACAAAGCAGCTCTATTTATAGCTCATAATCCATTTCTACATGATTGCACAAAACATATAGAAGTGGATAAACATTTCATCAAGGAGAAAATCAATGTTGAAATAATATATATGACATATCTTCCAACAGGTGAACAATTAGATGATGTGATAATAAATGGACTACACAAGAAGCAATTTGATAAGCTAACTAGCAAGCTGGCTATAGAAGATATCTTTAAACTAGCTTGAGCGGGAGTGTTGGAAATTCCATTATTAAGGCCTTGATTCAGTCAATATTCTAGGATCTATTTTTCTATGTAAATATGGATAGTAAAAGCTGTATGAAATTAGGAAAAGTAGGAAAGTAGAAGCTGTCAAATATTAGTTTTAATTAGTTTCATTTTCTGTTGTAATTGCTCTCTTTATAAAAGAGAATCATGTTCTTATTCTTGGAGTGTGAAAATATATTCCTTTCTCATATTTTTTGAGTGAAGATTTGAGACTTGTTTATGTTTTATTCATTCTTGAAGTTCTTGAATGGTGTAGTTTATTCTGAAAAAGTTCATCAATTCCAGTCAAAGTAAACTTTTAAACAACAAGTTGTCATTATTAAGAACACAAAAAAATATGAATAATGCTACACACCCATGTGAGACATATGGTAGAACTTCTGGTAGAGTTTTTGAGTCTCCAGCATTGTTCATATTTTTGAGGTCTCTAGACATTATCTCCCATAAGTCTTCAAATTTGAAAATTTTGTCAAAATAAAAAACCCAACTCTTACGCACATTGTATTGGATCATGTAGAGTTGGATCGAAATCACAGATTCAAAGATTGAAATCACAAATTCCAATAGCTTTGCTTTGTAGATTTATATGGAATGATCAATTTGGGATTATGCATATTTGCAAGAGTTCATCTTTTGAGAAATTTAGTCTTGATCCTACATAGGCGAAAAATCAAGAACTGACAAACTTCCCCTAAAGAAAAAATCTATGCCAATTGGAAAAAAAAAAGGAAGTTTCCGATATGGAAAAGTAACCCTATTATACGACACATGATGCGAACAAACGGTTGATTGGGCATAATAACAATCAATCCAATTATGAAGGCGATAGTAGTTGAAAACAGTGCAACATATATGAGCACAGTGGCACTAGAAAAGTAGTATAAATAGGTTTCTTCGGCAATAATAGCTCCCTAGAAGAGTATGCAAGCTGTAATCATAAAGAAACTCATAGCGATGGACTCCGAGACAAGGAACCATTATGAGAATCTGTGCAAAAAATTAAGTTGATTGAACATCAATAGCCAAACAACACCTCTTGGTGATCCAATTGAAGAGAAACAATCTCCAAAATCAATGTACCTAATTAAACAGTTAATTATATGAACTATAACTCTACCAATATTAATTACCTTTGGAAATCTCGAGTATGCCTTTCTAATTGACTCCTCATAGTCAATGGATGTTTGGCCAATGTTGTTCTTGCTCTTTGATCTACTTTCTTATCCCAAATCAAGTAACGTGCTATCTAACTTTTTCTTTCTCTGGTGGCCAAGTGCAAAGGTGTGTTTCCATCATTATCTACCTGGTTTATAAGCCCCTCTAGCTCTGTTGTTTCTAAAATGTACCTAATAACACTTGATTTTCCACTGAGGACGGCAAAGTGAAGAGTGTTTTGGCCTCTTAGATCTAGCAGTTCTCCAGAATCCAAGCAACATTGGATGATCTCTTTGATTATGTTGGTATGGCCTCTGTATGCCGCAACATGAAGTGGTGACACTCCATCTTGATTGGAAATGTATACTATGTCGATGTGAAGTTGAAGTAATCTTTGAACTGTCCTGTGGTCTCCCATAGATGCTGCGTAGTGGAGTGGGGTTCTACCATGATGATCAGTTTCTTTTATTAGTTCTGGTTTCGCTCTAACAAGGGCTTCCATGACATCTAAATAATGCATAAAAATGAAACGGTAAAATGTGGGTTTATTTATGAAATCATATAGTTACGATCATCAAATTGATTTGATATTTTAAATAAACAATCAACATGTATACACCTCAACGACCAACTAAATGTATCATCAAAATAGGCTCTATAATAATCCCACAACTAAAAACTGGATGGTCCAGGTTTGTTTTTATAATAAGTGCATATAAAAAATAAAGAGGGGTGCTATTAGCACTTGATGAATTATTTTGGATCCTTCATTTTTTTGGACCCCCATTTATAAATTTTAAAACCCTTAAAATTTCTTGTTTCCCCCCAAATAATAATAAAATTATCCTTAAACATTCCATCCATTGAATGCACACCCCCCACACCTCCAAAAAAACCTAACAAAACCTATTAAGAAGAAGAAGAGTCTCATCATTTTCAAAACCCACGAAGAAGAAGAAAAAGAAGAATATTGTCTTTGCCAGTTTAACCATTGTCACAGTTGGTATGCTCTCTCTCTGTCTCTCTCTCATTGCTTCTTTAAAACTGAAATTACTGAACTTGAAAAAATAAAATTTCTGCGAGTGTTAAGAATTTTAACCGTTAAAAGTGTTAACAAATTTCTATGTTCAGACCTGCATTCCCGAACAAATAATCTATGTTCGGGAATATGTTCACGAATAAATAAGCAATGTTCGGGTCTGTATTCCTCAACTTGAAAAAATGAAAACTTCTGCAAGCGTTAACAATTTTGACCGTTCAATGTGTTAAAAAATTTCCATGTTCGGACCTGCATTCCCGAACATTCCTTATTTGTTCGGGAACATATTTCCGGACAAATAAGTAATGTTCAGGCCTATATTCCCGAAATTGAAAAAATGAAAACTTTTACAAGCGTTAACAATTTTGACCATTCAATGTATTAAGAAATTTCCATGTTTTGACCGTTCAATGTAGATAATCATACGGTTGCCACCGTTACCGTCAGATTATTGCTGCCACAAGTTTTTCAAGGTTTTGAAAGTGGGTAGGTTTTTAAGGTAGGATTTGGGGAAGATGGATGGGTGGTGATGGAGGTGGGTGCTCTCATAAATCCTAATTCATGATGTAGTGGGTGTGTAGGTTTAATTGTGAGATGTGCTGTCCCAAAATTAATGATGTCCTTTGTAGTAATTTTATTTGAGGTTATTTTTGTAATAAAAAAAAAAGCTAAAAATTGGGGATCTAAAATAATTTATGGGCTGCTAATATGGGAAATTCTATTTCCACACACCTATTTACCTCAATACATACACTTAATGAAATATTATTTTAACGACAATTATACCCTAAAATAAAATGACCATAATGGACATCAAAACACACCCATAATATTATATCAAAATATTGTCTATACACATACTTTAAAAATAAAAAAAATCTCAATACACATCTTTTAAATAAACAAAAATCAAACCTTAATTTCTCCACTATTAGTCATTTCTTTCATTGTTTTTAGTTTACTAGGCCAATTTGCCTTGATTAGAAGCATATTTGTCTCTTCTGATGGGATGTCTTTTTACTCCCACCAATATTCAGAAAAACATTGGATCATACAGTTAACCACATTGTGTACCTATTGAACAAGTTGAAAAAGTGAACAAACCGAAGATTGCAAATGGAAAGGTTTTGGAGAAAAGCGACAAGCCCGGTGGAGATATCAATCAAGACAACAAACCAAGTTTTGAAAATATCTAATATTTTGGAAGTTAACAGTGGATTAAGGTTTTTTTTTTGGGGGGGGGTGTAAATCAGTGCCGAATGAAAAATAAAAAAATGATAGAAAAACATGCAAGTTTTCCAATGGAACGCAAACAAAATGAATTGCAAATAGATAATACATAAAAATATTTCAATTGGAGGGTTTTCAATGGAATTGTCAAATATAGGGTCTTGGAGATGTCAATGGGTCTTCATTGTTTCTTCGATGGGTCATTTTCATGCATATGTGAAAGAGGGTTTTCAATTGAATGGGTAAAAGTATGTGGAATGAGGATTTAGGTGGTGTGTGTACAAGGATATAAATTAGGGTATAATTGGAACATAATGCGTGTGGAATGAAAAGAATAATCAATAACCAAATTAATAAGTGTGTGCATTGAGAAATAATGTGCATTGAGATAAATAAGTGTTTCGAAATAGAATTTCCCTGCTAATAGCAACACTCATAATAAAGGAGAGAAGTATAAAATTACCAAAATACCCCTCTACGATGGTAGCATTCAAAGCTGTTTGGCCATCTGACCTGCCATAAGCCGAATAACAAGCTGCCATCAGTATGCACTTCACAATTTCCGGCACTCCATCTCTAGCAGCCAGATACAATTGCGACTCACCTGTGTTGTTCTTGAAATAGGCCAGCCCAAGATCAACCTTTATAAAAAACTCAGCCATTCTGAGATTATGGTTCCTCATAGCCTCATGCAAAACTGTGTTGCCCCACTTATTTCTCATCCTCAGAATCTCAGTCTCTCTGTTTCCTCTGTTTTCGATGTCTCCATAAGACGAAGATAACATCTCGTTGACTAGAAAACTAACAATGGAGATGTGGCCAACTCTCGCAGCGACATGTAGAGGCGTGTCTCCATCCAAGTTCGGTTGAGCAAGGAGGGACTGCTGCCTATTGCAAATCTCAGCAACAACGTTTTTGTGTCCAAACTATGTGGCGATATGAAGTGGTGTGTTTTCATGAAGTGTTAGTTTTAGAAGTAGGCTTGGATTTTCATTAAGGAGTTGTTTGAACTGAAGAATGTCTCCTGATTTTGCAGAGTTGTATAGTCTCTGATCCATGGTGGGTTTTCTAGGAAGCCACTGACATTTGGATTCATGTTGGGTTGGTTTAATTTATGTTTGTTTTAATTGCATATGTATAAAATGTGAACACACTGACCCCCTAGTTTGAAGAATATAATAGATTTTAGTAGGGGTGGGCAACGGTTTATCCGAATCGCTCAAACCGCCCAATCCGCCCAACCTGCATATAAATGGGCGGTTTCGCAAACATAATGCGGGTGGATGCGGTTTAAAATATGACAAATTTGCGGGTTGCGGGCGGGTCGCGGTTTAAACCCGCAACCCGCAAAAGCTTTTTTTTTCTTTTCTTTTTTTTTTTTATTTTTTTTAATTTTTTTAATTTTACTATCTCATATGATGTAACACATTCAACAAGTTGGTGCAATGAAGTCCAGATCAACCTAATTAATAGTTGTCGATCACCATCTTTAAATAATAATAAAAAAAACCAGTTAAAAACAAATTTATATTGTGAATGTGATTAAAAAAAAAAAAGAAACTAGTTAAAATTTTTTTTATATTGTGAATGTGATTGTAGAGATTATAATGGTTGCAAGAGAGATAAATTTTTCATGTTAATTCGTTTATTTTTCATAATCGGATTCATGTTAAAAAATACCCAACTCAAATACACTAATTTTGTATTTATCAAAAATTCTTAGCAGTATACTTTCTGGTATTCAAACTAATCCAATGTCAAAAGTTTTGACTTTAACCCAGGGGTGAGTGGCAACCTGGTAAGGGCCTGGGGTTTAAGCCCCTAGGTCCTGGGTTCAACTCCCCTCTGGGCCAATCTCCTGGGCGTAGCATAGTTGCTTAGGAGGTTGACCTCAAGGATGCCTTATCTGCTACTTGGTGTGGGTTTAATTCTCCCCCGCTGTGCGAGTCCTGACTTAAGCGGAGCTTGCCTTGGGAGGTCGGGACAAGCTTCCAAGTTATAGTCTCTTACTCGGAACGGACAACATGACACCCTGGTGATCTCCTCAAGGGGCACTGCTTTGGACCTGCGGGAGAGTGGGAGGATTTTCCTGTAACAAAAAAAAAAAAAAAAAATTTGACTTGTGTGACTTTGAGACCTTGTGTATTTTTGATTCATTCAATTTTTTTTCAACGGTGTGGTTAATTGAACACGAACTCTGCACTGAAAAATGTATAATTCCAGTCAAAATTTATAAATTTGACAAAACAGAGTAAGCCAAAGGGAAATTTAATCAAAACCCCTCCATTGGACTCTTATTTGGTGAAAATAACAGTCCAATTTTTTTTCTTTCCATAAATCTCCTAAGGAGAGAATACATAGTTGAGCAAGAACAAAGTAAAATATCTTTTTTCTTTTGTGGACAATATTGCTAGAGTAATATGTTATTGTCAAACAGAGTAACATGGAACGGACAACAGGACACCCTGGTGATCTCCTCAAGGGGCACTGCCTTGGACCTGCGGGAGAGTGGGAGGATTTTCCTGTAACCAAAAAAAAAAAAATTTTTGACTTGTGTGACTTTGAGACCTTGTGTATTTTTGATTCATTCAATTTTTTTTCAACGATGTGGTTAATTGAACACGAACTCTGCACTGAAAAATGTATAATTCCAGTCAAAATTTATAAATTTGACAAAACAGAGTAAGCCAAAGGGAAATTTAATCAAAACCCTCCATTGGACTCTTATTTGGTGAAAATAACAGTCCAATTTTTTTTCTTTCCATAAATCTCCTAAGGAGAGAATACATAGTTGAGCAAGAACAAAGTAAAATATCTTTTTTCTTTTGTGGACAATATTGCTAGAGTAATATGTTATTGTCAAACAGAGTAACATGTTACTGTGAGACAGAGTAACATGTTACTGTCAAATAGAGTAATTGTCAAATAGAGTAACATGTTACTGTTACTATTACTATTTACATCAATTTCAACAATAATAATTTTTTTCCCAAATAATTTCACAGTCAACATAGATCTTATTTGATAAATCTTGATGAGAGAATTCTAAAAATATTAATTTTATTAAAAACCGACATCTACATCCAAAGTTATATTATTTTACAGTTGGGTAAATTACACTGACCTCCCCTGAGATTTTCCTTAATTACAAATACCTCCCTTGTGGTTTCAAAAATGACACAGACCTCCCTTACTTTTGAAAATAATAGTCAAATTCCCCCTTCCCGTTAAAAGAGTTTGAACGACGTTAACTTGATAGTGGAATTGACCATAATACCCTTCAACCACATTGTGAAAAGACATAATTGACCCTTAAGGTAAAAAAGCCCTCTCATTCATTTCTATATATATATATAGAGAGAGAGAGGGTCTTTTCACATTTATCACCTCGTGGTCTCTTCCCATCCACTTCTCCTCATTCGGTATGAACGCCTTCCATAGCCATTCTGTTCTCTTCACTGACACTAGCTGCGATAGCCTCATCTTCGCCTCTATCCTCTTTTCTCCACCGAAGAACGGTTGTATCGCCACCAGCCCCACCACCTTCATTTCACAACAACACAATCAATCAAATTTCCATCAATTTTTTTTGAGTAAAATTAGTGATGTAATGTTGAGAAAATTTCTTGAATTTTGATTTGATACACATTTGATGAAATAATCATTTGAGCACAATTTTTTTAATTTATAATTTTCTATCAAATTTCATCGATTAAGAAGAAATGTGATGCAAATGTTATGTTGTGTTGTGGATCTATTGTTTTATTTTCATGCCTTCAATTTCTGAAAATTTGATTCGATGGCTCGATACGTGACGTGATGAGCGAGACAAGGAAGCAGCGAACGAGGTCCGTATTTTATGGTAGGACTTGAGATTTGTTATTATCGAGAAATATGAGGACGCCGAAACCGTCGTCGTATTGAGCAGGGTAGCAATGTTCGAGAGCGAGGTAGTAGTTGACGGAGACGACAATGATGGGGACTTTACGGGCGAATCGGTGGCAAATGGTGTCGTAGGCCTTGGAGCCGGCAGTGAGGTAAACGAATCCATGACTATGGAAGAAGACAATGACGGGAAAGGTTTGGTCGGGATTGTTGGGGACGAAGAGGTGGAACTAGAGGTTACGAGAGGAATCGGTACGTGATGGTTAAGTTCTACGCACCGTGTTGTGGACACTGTCAGGCTCTTGCGTTGGAGTATGCTGCGGCAACGACGGAACTAAAGGGCTTGGTGGTAGTGCTCGCGAAGATGGATGGTTAGGGGATTCCTACTGTTTATTTCTTTGCTGATGGTCAGCATAAACCCTATAATGGCCAAAGGACTAAGTAAAACCCCTACAATGGTCAACATGATTCATATATATGTTAAGCACATGAAGAGTAGTATTAGAATTTGCAAAATAATTATGGATGACATCAATAGAATCTATTTGATTTTGGATGAATAGGTAATAGAAGGGGGTCTTTGTATATTAGTTTCAAAAGTAAGGGAGGTCTGTGTCATTTTTGAAACCACAGGGGAGGTATTTGTAATTAAGGCAAACCTTAGGGGATGCCAATGTAATTTACCCTTCAAAGTTTAATATTTTGATAATAATGATATTTGTTGGATTTTTCAAGAATTTTTTTTTGTACTTGTCCTTAATGCATTACAATTTTATTATGAAGGGGTTTTGACCAAATCCCCTGTAATAACCCTGATCTATGATTAGTTTAAAACATATGATTACTAATTCTTAATGAGTAATTAAGACGAAATTCTGAATTAATTGCATGTGTATTGCATTATTGGTGTTTATATTTGTTCATGGTAGGAATATTTGTCTGTATTTCTGTTTAGTTTTGTGAATTGAATGCCTTATCAGCATCCGATCACGAAATTGACTACAGTTATGTGTTATTTGGAATTTTTAGAATTTTATGGTAGGATTAATTGAAGTTCGATTCGGAACGAATTAAATTAGACTAATTAATGTCAATGTGATTAACCTAAGTCAAGTTTAGTTAAGCCTCCTTAATTGAGCCTATATAAGGCTACTTTGAATTTGTTAGTTCATTTAGCACTTTCATTCCCTATTCTTTAAGCTAAAAAAAATGGGAGAGAGAGAGAGAGAGAGATAGAAGAAAATTGAGATCAAAAGCTAGGAAATGGGGAATTACTACGAATTGTTGAAGAATTACAATGAATTTGGGAGTTTAAGCTTCTACACTTGTGTAATTAAGACCCTAGGTAAGAATTTTGACCTTAAACTTTGTAATTAAGACTTTAATACACGAATTCTAGAGAATTAAGCTAAGTTATGTAAGAATTGAGCTAATGAATTAGAACGGCGGATCATTCCATGCATGCATGCATAATTCATGGATTTTGAGTTTTCATTCCAACAATTTCATACATGCAAGAGCTTATCTTCGTTAGATTATGAGAACTCACCATGGTTTTATACACAAACACTTCATTTGTACATGTTTTGGAAGGTTTGAATTCTTGATAACACATGCATGATATGTATATGTATGTTCAAGTTTGGTTCGGAAGAATTCACTCGCTTTTGGGCCTTGATTTTGTGTATTGAACTTAATTCATGATGTTTTATAAGTTTCCAAGTGTTTTCTCAAGTTTTTGGCCCCAAAGACCATGATTGGCAGCTTTGAATTTGAGTTTCGAACTTAGAAGAGCAATCTGAAAATTCCAGATTTTGTCTCTCTGCTCGAGCAACAAATCCTGTGCTTGAGCGACCACTTTTGTTTTGCACTTCTGTTCGAGCGACCAAAAGTTGGCTCG